CCCCAAAACCCCAAAACCCCAAAACCCCAAGTCTCATTAATTTGAAAAGAACAGAAAGTTATTAAATTAAGAAAAAATTAGCTGAATTGATTAAAGAGATTTGGCACATTAATGAAGTTTTTATATGACCCATAATCGATAAGTAGAGTGACCTGGTAGCTTATTTCAAACAACTTAATCACACCCAGTATCTTCATGTTTCTAACAATAGCTGAGGGGTTGCAAAGTATATTTTATGCATTCTTGCTGCAACAATAGCTTGTAAACGAAATAAAATTAGACCTAGAATCTGGACTCAATGAAAATTAAATTACAAATGGCGAAACTGATTCATCGGATGCTCCTGCAAGTGAATCATCTTCAATTTAGATATCACTTCTATTTATCAATGATTACTAAAAAATGCTTACTGATAATGAGAATTTTGTGATGGTTACATCTGCCTCTATCTTCGGATTAAATTTCTTCCTTGGTCTTATTTTTACTTATTTGCTTTGGAATTAAAAAAAGAAAATGATTAAGGACCTAAGCGAATCAAGTATGATCCACAAAGTTTTCGGCTGCTTATTGATCATTTACGCGAGAGGATTATATCTTATCACTTTTGAATTCATAATAAGAGGTTACTCAGCTTATTAATAGTATGATTTAGGGATAAAGATTGGCTTATCGATAACTAATACTATCTCAGTCGTCTTATTCTTTTTCTTCATATTTTATACAAGAAGGATTTTTAAGCTTAATATGCTCTCAAACCATATTTCCTGGAGCAATTCGGATTCTAAAGCTATCTACTTTGGATTTTTTGCTAAGATTATTAATCCACTGATTCTAAGTTTTGACACAAATGGAGACTACATTACTGCTGAAATTATTATCTGCCTAATCATATAAACTTTATATCTTGTGATGATACTCTTCTTCGCAGATATATACAATAGGAAAATTGATCTCGTGCAAAAATTTATCCAAGCTACTGTGGTACTAATCTTGGAAATAAGCTTTATCAAATACCTAATAAAGGAAAATGACGGAAAAGAGTTTATACTTTTTCTATGTGTTCTGCCTTTCCATCTTTACTTCATCTACAGGCTAAATAAAAGAAGAAAGGAATAGATACTTGAAATGTTTACTGAGGGAAAATTAAAAATGGAGTTGTAATTTGAATATCTTCTAATCTATCTTTATGAAATAGTACAAGACTCACTCATAGATTCTAAAGTCAGTTAAGAATATTACTCAGAGATTCTAAAACTGCTAGAGGGCCATCAGTTAACATGCTACAACACAGATTGCATTTGCACTAAGCAAGGTGACTTTATGGAAATTTTCAAATAAGGCTAGAAATAATCTACTAATGTATTCTTAGTTGAGCTTCAAAATTTAAAAAAGATAAAGGAATACATTTAAATGAAATCTGGAAAATGGTTTGTCTCTAGTGTTAACAGAATGAAGGAAGATCAGTTCAGAGACAAATACTATAACAAAAGAGATATAGATGATGATGAAGAAGATATTTCTTTGATTGATGACTAAAGTAACGATGATGGTGGCTTTTTGAATTCTCTTGATATTTAAGATGCCACAAAGCAAATTAGAATAAGACCCAAAAGGAAGATTAAAATTGACATACAGCACGTCAAAAGAAGGTTCGTGACAAACTTTATTCTCTTATTCTTTGTTGAGATAAAGTAGAAGTTTCCCAATAGTCTTAAAATACATATTTTATGCAACTACTATTCTATGATGATTGTCTAAAAGCCTTAACTCTGCATAAGTTAATTAAGAGGTTTTAATGACAAAAATTTCTCTTGGTTGGACAGAATCTCGAAATTCGTTAATGAATTCTATATTTTGGATGAGTATGAGAAGCATGACAAATCTAATTTAGATAGTAATATGCAGATCAAAGTAGATGGGGAGCATTTCATTATGATCAATGATCTCTACGAAGAATTTTAAACCTAAGTCGATTAGATGAGTTTTGATGCTGTAGAATTTTGGAAAGGATTTACCTAAGATGATGTTGACCCTTACAAGTAATATGATCTAGGGGAAAAAATTGCTGACAGTATTTAAGCAACTTACAAGACGTTTAAAGAAATAGAAGACAATCTAATATAGAAAGACTATAAAATATACGTTTGGTTTGCTTAAATTTAGCTCAAAATAATGAATGATAACGATGGCTATTAGATATTTATTCAAAAAATGAGGGGTGTCATGCAAATGAATAAGATGTTCTAATCAAATATGAGAGGTAAAATAAGTGAAGACTCTGGATTTATAGTGAGTGATGGACACTCAAATAACTCTGGAAAGATCCTCTTTATGAATAAAACAATCAAAAGATGGCTACTAAGAGAAGAAGATGATACCAAGTTTCTTAACATTAATGCTCTTATGCCAAAACTTATTGGAGAAAGGCATGATGAATTTATGAAAAAATATAATGAAACAGGAGAATCAGTGATTTTAAACAAGCAAATCCTTAATTTTTTAATGGATAAAAATGGCTCCATATTCCCAGCAGAGATGCTCATCAAGTTCCACTATTCGTAAAAATTCAAATACTGCTTTATCACTTTCATTGAAAAAGTTAAAACAATCAAACCATTCATCGACATGGTGAAGTACAAAACTGAGCAGCTTCTGTTTATGACAATTGATATGTATGATGGGTAGATCTTTGAAGTTTCAAGAAATCTTTTAAATTTGCTTGAATATTTTGGCATCAATTAGTACAAAGACATCAGAGAAATATCATTTACTGAAAAGAAAAGATTAATTTAGGATTTACTGACAGATTTTTCTTTTGAAGAACTAACAAGATATAAGTAAACTCATAAGAATAAGAATGATTCCTACGAAAAAATTCATACCCTTAATCTATTTAGTTTTTCTGATAACATTGACTACTATGGTGTAAACAGCACAAAAGATGAATGTCAGGCTAAAGTTGCCATTTATGTTGATACTTACGGAGAATGCAAACTTAACATAGGATTTGTGGTATTATCTATAAGCACTGGCCATTAAAACCTAGATTTCATTAATGAACTAAAATCTAATGATGCAGCTGAAGTTTAGCAGTAAGAGTATAAGGATGAATAATAAGAAATGCAGTTAAGAGAATCTTAAGAAAATGACAGTGTTGCCTCATCATCATGTGGCAGCTCTAATTCTGGATCATCAAGCTCAAGTTATCATGCTCTATAATAGTTTCACACATTCTATAGATAGTAAACACCTAGGATTCTTAAAATTGTGATTCAATTGATACTTCTGATGTTCATTGCATCTATCACTATAGCCACAGTTAATCTTGTGCTGAATATTCGAAGTCATAACCTGTCAGAACTTGAAGTTAAATAAGTAAGAGCATCTATGGATAGAGTTAATTTTTCTGTCAGTATCAGACTCCTTTTAAGAACAATGATGAATATTGCCAATGGATACGAGCCAAACAAGTCTAAATTATTAGATGATAGATTTAAAGTGTACCAAGGCCTCTTAAGAAGCAAAGCAGAACAATTAATTTCAGCATAATATTATCTAGATAACTCTGGGTATTAATTTTCCCAATCATTTGAAAATGAATTGAAGAAATCTGAAATAACATTATCATACTTGATGGAAAACAATGTATTGAGAAAGGAAAACGTAACTATGAGAAACATGTAGAGTCTATATGGCAGCAGATTAGTTTAAGTTGAGAACTACACAATGTAGTAAATGAAAGGGAATTTGAAAATATAAAATCTAAAGCCAAATTTGTCGGTTAATTACTAGCCAACAATTGAGGAGTAAACTCTTTACTTCATTGTTGAAAATGGTAATGGCATAGTAAGAACTTACAATAGATTCTTTGCAGATCTTTACATTACCGATAGCGTTAAGAACTCAGAGAATAACGAGAGTAATACAATGATAACAACTGTAATTTCAGTAATTACTATATTCTTAGTTACGTGTGTAATCTCTCCTATAATCAGCAAAACTGAGGAAAGAAAGTATAATGCTCTCGTATTCTTTATGAGAATTCCTAGAAATCAAGTGGAATAATACATTAAAAGTTGTTAAGAATGCCAGAATCTCGATGCATCCCCAAATATTTAGAAAAAAGAGAAGAACACTGTTAATAATGTCCCGAATGAAGATTTTAAAACCTACGACTATTAATCGATGAATTACCCTTAAGATCATTCAGTTTTAGATGTCTCTGATGTTTAATTGATGTAAGAAAATAGTTTTAACCAAAGCAACAACTTAGAGTCCACCCAAAAGCGACTATTTGAAGAAAACTCTGTTAGAAATGAGTTAATTAACACTAATGCTAGGCTAAGAAATTATCCTCAAAAAAGCTCAGATACATCAGTAATAGGTGGCAATGAAGAAAGTAAATATCTGAGCATGGCCAATTTATAAAGAAGGAAGAATAAATAAATAAATCATGCAAATTTATCTATTTCTGACTCCTCAGAGAAACCTAATGATCTTAAAAGCCTTTAAAACAAGTAAATTAAAGTAAGCAATGAATAGTAAGAACAGCAAATAAGAGATTAGGAGATTTTAGAGGAATTAATGAACAGAAATCTCTAAAAAATAAAAGGTATTGCGTTTAAAAAGAAGACATTAACATTCCTATTTGTTATGGTCCTTATGGTTGTGTTCTCAGTTTACTTTATCATTAGTTTTTTCATGGCCTAGAAAAATTATCAGACAGCTGCGAATTCATCAATTGACCTAGGCACTATTTTCAGTAAAGAGTAATGCTTTGAAAATCTCATTAGTTATTAAAGAGAAAACATGATTCAAAATAAAACGATAATGCTAACTGATAATATAACCGAGGCAAGTCAATATTTCTTGACAACTTGCTCCACTTAAGAGGCTAAGTACAAAGAACTGAGGAAAAGTTTGCCTGAGTATTTCTAAGATGCAAAACAATACTTGGAATAAATCGAAACTAATAAATATTGTGACGTAGTCTATGTAGACTCTCTAAATTTCCTAAATAGCCCATGTCAGATAGCCTTGAATGGGCTTATGAGTAAAGGAATGACAAATACACTATTTTACATGTTGAGTTAAGCTTAAAAGACTGAACTAGCATTCAAAAATTCTTATTAAAACCAACGCAGAGATGATTAATTTTTAAGAGTAGAGTTGAACTCAACTGATGTGATTGACATCATTGACACCAAGATGTATATTATGGGTTATTCTTTCATTGAGCTCGAGAACTAATGCATGGAGTCAGCTCTTAAATACTTTAAAAAGCTTTTGACTGATTTCATCATTGTATATGCGGTATTTCTAGCATTATTGATATCATCAATGATATACTTTACTATTTTCGCTTTCAAAAGATTGAGGAGAAGCATGTGGAGCACTAATATGCTTTTGAAGATTATACCTAAACAAGCTCTAAATAAAAATGACAGTGAGCTGCTCAAATAATTCTTTGTCAACTGAAGCCATATAAAATTTAAAATTTAATTTTTCATGATTTAAATTGAATTTATCTGGAGGGGTTTTGGGGTTTTGGGGTTTTGGGG